AAGATAACGCAATGATAATGCAATATTAATGTAATGATAATTATAAGTTAACTTAAATTGGTAACAGAAAAAAAAAAGATAAAATGTAATACGTATTGATTGTGCAAAAATGACGCAAAAATGACGGCAACTATAGTCAAGGAAAAAATAATAAATAATGTAACAATAGAGATAGCCCAAGCTCAAATTTTGATTCAATTCGAAGTTGAAGAGTGACGAAGTTACATAGTTGAAGTGTGACGGAGTGGATTGAATGAAGAGAAGAACTTTCATCACGAACACTAGCATTCCTTTAGATATATCATCATTATTAGCTAGGCAGGTTAAAATTAAACTTGTCCATTAAAAAAATAAAACAATTGAAAAAAAAAATAAATAAATAAATAAATAAAAATAAAAAATAAAATAAAAAATAAATAAAAAATAAAAAATAAATAAAAATAAATAAATAAATAAATAAATAAATAAAAAAAAAAAAAAACGTTGAAACTATCTAATAATTAATCTATACTTCAAAACAATTTAATTCCAGTCACAAAGTTTTGATTGAGACAATTAGAATTTTACCCCAATTCACTTATTTTATTTTTGTTACCATTACCCGTCCAAACAAATGAAGGCAGCAACTTAAAGCTGCTAGGGCCAATAAGCATGCAAAGCATGCAAATTATGAAAATCTGGATGACTATATTTGGTCGGATAATAATATTGATGAAAGGTCTTCTGATTATTTTGCTGTTTTATTGATAGCAGGTAAAAATATAAATGATTGGAAACCTTTGGGTAGAACAATATATGTTGGAGGTTCTAAAAGAACTTAAAGACGCAAAAAAGCGGAACTAAAGAAGGCTGTACAAAATACTCGACCTATCACTGCATACTTACCTCCTGCCTTAACATCTTCTAACGTTGCCTCGGCTTCGACTTCTACTTTTGGATTGTCAACAGAATTATATGCGCCAACTGAAGTAGAATCAATAGGAAGTGAATCAATAGAGGTGGAATCAATTGAGGTAGAATTGGTGGAATCAATGGAGGTGAAATTAGTGGAATCAATGGAGGCGAAATTGGTGGAATCAATAGAGACAGAATTGGTAGAATCAATTGAGACGGAATTAGTGGAATCATTGAAGGTGGAATTGGTGGAATCAATGGAGGTAGAATTGGTGGAACCAACAGCAGATGCATCAGCTGAAATTGATGAGAAAACAACAATGAGGTTAGCAATTGAGGAGCTAGATGGTTTATTAAAAAAAAATGACAATCAAATAGATAAAGGTGTAAGGGTTCGTTTGCAAGCATCATTGCAATATTTACGATTAAGATACTATCACGATCAGACTAAAATAAGGGCAAGCACAA